ACAGGGTAAGTATCAGTCACTATAATGGTAAAGCTAAATATAGTTGAATCTTCACTACCAGTTACCAGTAAACTGAAATAATCTTACATAGAAATTTACAACTATAACTGTAATAAAATATGTGTATATTACTAGAAAATATGTTGTAAATATTGCTCGTTATGTAAGATCGCGCTATCGGTATACCTGCACGATGGATTTAAAGACATCGTAGTTATTGCCATTTTGTGCGGTTTTACAACTTGGATCAGTCTAACATAGTCTCCTCGTATATTGTTAATGGCATTAGCCGTTGATATCGCTACAGCTATTATACGAATAACACCACTTTCAAAAGCGCATGCGAGTGTCGATCCTGTTGCTTCAATCTTATAAATATATGAAAAAAATTTTATGCGCGTATGCATAACTTTATACATAGGCAGTTAGATAATGTATATACAAAAAATTTAAATTCTAGAAAATAAGATTTTATGAAATTTTTATCACATTGGTAAAATTGGATGATAAGAAATAGTCAAAAGATCAGCTGACTTTTCCATTTTTCACATTGTTGTGTATATAATAGAGATTGTGATTGTGTGTGTAATGAGTACGCGCGCGCACGTATATGGGGTACTCTATTATACACATATTAAAATATCGAAAATAAATCAATCAATAAATTACTAAGGCTAATTTTTACCTGGCATGAAAACCAGATGATTTGACTGCCAATATCATTAAAGTTATGCACCAAAATTAACCTTTTTTCTATATAATTATAAATATGCAGTTGTCCAGTTTTACCCAATGTAACTATGAAGGGACCCCATTTCGCATAATCCATATCGGCTATAGCTCTCGCATGGCATGTAAATATTTTTCGCGGTAATTCTGCTTTCGGAGTATGTAAATCTATTAACCAAATCCCACCATTTCCATCCTAGAAAAAAATAGATGTTACATGTTTGCAGAGATTGCATTAATATCTTGCTAATATTTCTTTTTCTTAAAAGCTTGTATTATTAAATTTACTAAAATCTCCCACAATACTCTTAAATATTTAACATTATAATAAAAACCTATTACTCAGGATGTATTCTACATGGAACTCGCAACACTCAGATCGACGTTCGTGCTGTTTTATTTGACACCAATTACATTTAGCGTGCATTACAATGTCACGAGCGTCGAGCGAAAAACGATCTGAATATTGCGAGTCCCAAATGGAATGCAGTCTCACCTGAGCATACCAGAACATACTTTCTGGATTATCTGGTTCTTGTTTACGTATGCACATAAGCATCGAATTATTCGCTTCATTACCTTCACTGACATGATATTCATAGATAGGTTGAATTTCTAGAAAACGTTCTCCAGTACGAGAATCCGCTTGATCTATCGTTTCATAGAACCAAATTCTAATCCATCCATCCATACCTACAATCCGTCCATAATATCCATTCATTTCAATCATAGAAATTCTTATTCAAAATCATACACACACACGCACGCGCGCGCAGATTGAAAGATTGGAAGACCTTAAGCTCTTGAATAGAAATCACATTTTAATATATTCTTAATAAATTTGTCTCATTACAATTTATGGAAAAAGAATTGAGAGAGTGTTGCCATATAATTATAAGAAATATTTTTACCAACTGATATAAGCTCTCCATTTATATACTCAAATTGTGTAATTGCCTTAGTGTGACATGATTCTCGATTTTTCTTGCATATTTCAAGAGTAATTAGACCTTCTTCCCATAGTAAGATGTTTCCCCATTCACAGCCTGATACAACCTGAGAAAGATATAGCTTTAAATAAATCGAAAAGCCCTAGATGCATTTAAACAATACTCACTTTTCCATCTGGCATGATATATACGCCGATAATGTCAGATATCTCTGTCTGACCAAATCTACCAATTTCGCCTTTCAATTTAAGTCCGGTAAATGTTTCAGAGATTTTCCAAAATTTTATATGTCCCGAACCACTGGTCACCAAATATCCAGGTAACGATGAAGATATTGTAATATTATAAACATCCCGATTGTAAGATTTGCATTTCAATGCAATTTTAGACTTTTGCCAATTCCAAAGAGTAATTGTATAATCTGGATCTCCTCCTTGTGATACTAATAATAAACCATCTGCACTGCAAAATATATATAAAACATATAACACATTGGACACATACATGATAATACATAGAATTATGCATCTATATATAATGGATATGATTTTATGCATTAGATCTATGTGAGATACCTATATGTTAAATGGGAATAGGATTTCAATGTGCCATTATATAAAATTGTCACAATATCCATTGAAGGCCACTTATAGATTATTATTGGAGGTTTAATACCATTTTCACCAACAGCAATGTGATCAAATACAGGATTTTTCTAAACAGACAAAATATCATGGAAAAAGTATATTTTTTTTGTTTCTTTTTTTTTTGGGGGGGGGGAAGCATACTTTATTAATACAATATTAATTGAAGAGAATTAGCTTATTTTGTTTTTAATTTAAACACATGAGATTTCCCTCTCTCTCTCATTTTGCTAAAACTATCTCTCATTTTCAATTTTTTCAAAATAAGTAATATACAAATGTAAAAAATACCGTCACATGTCCAATTCCGTCACCAGTATATCCTCTTCTAAACCACAGCTTGTTTGTTGAAATATTCCAGAAATGTAGAATGTTACCAGAAATAAAGATAATAATGTTTGGTTCTGCCACGCAAAGATTAAAGTATCTCTGACAGTCGTATGAAAATGAATGACTTATGTTATTTAAGAAATTTTTTTTTTAATATTGTACATTTGTCATCACAATATGATTTAAAAAGAAAAAAAAGTCTATAATCACTACATATAAAAGGATACTGAAACTCCAAGATATTCATAGGTACTGTTCCATTTCGCACGCGTTTTGCTTTGGATATATATTCGTTTGAATTGTAGATGTACTCTTCATGTATTCCTTCATCATTTTCTCCTTTCCCTGCTTCCTGATTTTCTTTATTGCGAAATTCAAATTGACGCTCTTGCGACTTATCTTCTTGCATTTTACCGTTTTATTGTTTCCTTATGTTATTAGTCTTCTTGGTCGCGTTAAAATCCTACGATAAACTTTGCTCAAAGAAGAGATTTGACAAAAGTACACTTTTATCAAAAAAAAGTTCGACGCGCTTGTTATATATACACACTTTGTTGTATATTGTATAATACATAGTTTATAAATTACAATAATAGTTTCCATAGATACACACACATAACTGTTTATTCAATATATCAAATGTACATCGGAAAAAAAGATATATCACTTTTCCTAATTCAAATATTTCCAATTTTTCAGAATAACAACTTAATAATCTAAAAGCTATTTAATTTTCAAAAATCGAAACATAATTTTTTAAATTTTTGTTTCTCGAAAAGTTATTAAAAATTACTAGCATCATGAAATACCAACAATTTCGGTGTGATTCGGAACACTACTCACTACTCACCAATGGTCTAGTTTCCACCGTAAGTATCAATTCGCATCTATGCTATGTTCCGATTCCCCACCCGGGTGCACCCGAAATTATAATATATGTCACGTATACTATAATATCGGGTGCACTCGGGTGGGGAATCGGAACACAGCCTAGCGCGGCGTAGGACTAAATTTAAGGCCGATATTACATTTATCGTACGACAAACTTTTTAAGCATATTGATTGGCTGCAAAATAGAAACTTTCTTGAGTCTCTAGAAATTAGCTAATCAATGCGCTTAAAAAGTTTGTCGTACGACAAATGTAATATCGGCCTAAGTCGATGGAAACGTTAAATTCGATGCGCACCGAAACAGAATCGGACCGATGACTTCGGTGGAAACCGCGGTCCTACGCCGTGCCAGATGCGAATTAATACTTCGGTGGAAACTAGATCAATGGCACAGTATATACAGTAGCGCAACTCTCCCGATTTTGTGTTGGCCAACTTATGTAATATATTGTATATTAGCATAATTATATTTATTGTTTCATCATTTTATTTTTTTCCTTTTTTAAATATATTCTTAACAATTTATCTATATATATTTTTTATTAAAATACATTATTTTGGATTATTATTTATTGCTACATATGTATCAATGAGTTAGAGAGAGAACGAAAAACGAGAGTGAGCGAGAGAAAATCAGAAGGCGTTACCGACCAACTTACTTATTTTGCGCATGCGCACTCCGTTTTGGCACCTTTATGGCACCTTTACATGGCAGCATTAAGCGTCGAGCGTCTGCGCAGAAAAATGCGCAGAATTTAAAAGAGATAGATTCTAGGCTGAAATTAGATTCTGCGCAATTTTCTACGCAGACGCTCGACGCTTGACGCTACCATGTAATGGCACCTTTACCGACCAACTTACTTATTTCGCGCATGCGCACTCCGTTTAGGCCAACACTAACATCAAAGGTGCCGACAGAGAGTTGCGCTACTGTATATCTGTGCCAATGGCCTAGTTTACACCGATATACTTTACACGTACTAAAGCCCGTGTCACACTACGCATTGAAAATTGAAGATTGAAGATTAAACATTGGAACTTGATTAATCAGAACAAAAAGGACTAAAATTTCTTTGTCCTGATTGGTCAAATTTCAATCTTGAATTTCCGGTCGCAATCTTTAATGCTTTAAAGCCCGTATCAGACTATGCATTGAGATTAAAATTTGACCAATCAGGACAAGGAAATTTTAGTTCCTTTTATCCTGATTGGTTAAATTTCAATCTTCAATCTTCAATCTTCAATTTTCAATGCGTAGTCTGAAGTCTGATACGAGCATTAAGCCCGTATCAGACTACGTATTGAAGATTGAAATTTGACCAATCAGGATAAAAGGAACTAAAATTTTCTTGTCCTGATTGGTCAAATTTCAATCTCAATGCATAGTCTGATATATATATATATATGATGATGATGACGATGATGATGATGATGCTGATTAATTATATGTATAAACAAAATATTATTGTTTACAGGTCCTTCTCAGCCTGATGAAGATGATTATGGATACGTATCGCAAGAAGCTTCTACATTCTACAATCAGTTAATGAACAAATATAATAGTTTACCTCCAGAGAAACCTATTTTTAATAATAATGAAAAAAGAACAATAAAGGATATTGCATCTACAAAGGTGTGTATATAACAATCTCCTATTAAACACACAATTTAAGAAAATATTTGATTTTTTAAATTATGTTATATTTGATTTTTTAAACATTAAGTAGACATTTCTTATATTAATTTGTTGGTTTAAGTTATGTATATATTATCATCTTATTCATGTTATTCACTATAATCTGAATATATAAAATAGTTAATTTATTGTATGCTATCTGTTTTCACTTGTACTATATGATTGAATGTGATCTTGTATATTATAGGATAGAGTAAAACAAGCTTTAAAACAGCAAGAACTCGAGGAGAATAGTGGACATAGGCGCAAAAAGAAATCATTCGCTACAAATGTAAAAGAAGCTGAAATTGATGAAAAAATGGAGAAGAACATTGCTGATAAAATCAAAGAAGAGGGCAAGGAGGAAAAGCCGAAACCGAAGAGAAAGTCGTTACCACCGCCTATGGGTTTTGCGGAACTTTTAAAACTTGCGGAGAAAAAACAGCATGAGCCTGTGATGGTAGAAGTTAAGCCAAAAGTGGAAGAGGAACGACCAATGACAAAACGTCAAAAAATTGAATATATACAGGAAAGAGACAGAAAGGAGCGAGGGAGAAAAGATTTAGAAACAGATAAAAAAGTAAACATTACGAGTGTATTAAACAAACCTAATAAAACACAATTAAATAAAATTCCTAAGACTATTGAAAAATCTCCTATCTTAAACTCAATATTAAATAAAAACTCTTCCAAAGCTGCGACAACTATTTCTAGAAAAATTATTGACAAATCCAATGAAAAACATAATGCGGAAAAATGTAACTCAAGCAAAACCTCATCTAAGAACGAATTATTAGAAGAACGAAAAAAATTAGAAGCTGAGAGAAGACAACTGGAAGAAATGCGACGCGCTATCGAAGAAGAAAAGAGAAAATTAGAGCAAAGTAAAAATAAACGGGAAGATGTAAAGTCTCACTCTTCTAATAAAGAAATGGCTAAATCCAAAGGCAATAGTGTAGATAAGCAAATATCCAAAGATATAAAAACACGACAATTTCCACTTTTGGATTTGAAATCACACTCGTCGTTAGCTAATAATAAATTAAAACAAAATCCACCACCTGATATAAAATCCATTAAATCTAAAGAAATTATTAAAAAACCGCTTACATCCAACAAACGTGAGTTTACTTGCAGATATAAGTTATTATCATAAAACTTGATGGAAAATCAGGCAAAGTCAAACATGTGAAATAAGTTTTAATTTTACAGGCCGTATCTATGACGAGGACGAAGATTCAGATTTAGATGATTTCATAGATGATGGATCAGATAATAATGAGGAAGATTATAGTAAACATATTAGCGAAATATTTGGCTATGATAAAAGCAAATATAAACATCTTGATAATGAAGATGACACTGCTATGGAGAGTAATTTTGCACAACAACTAAAGGAAGAATACATATCCACCAAAATAGGTACTGATTTATATTATCATAAGTATTTTGTGTGTGTCTAAGATATGAAGAGCTTGTTGATATGTAAAATTGAATATTTGCAGGAATTATGGAAGATTTAGAAGATATGCGTAAGGAAGCATTAGAGAAAAAGGCAAAAAATTTTCTTAAAAAGAAGCTTAGAAAATAGTACAAAATATTTTGACTATATATATAGCATAGTCTGATACGGGCTTTAAGCCTATCGCTATCGCTATCGCCTAGCATTGTGCAATAGGCTTTACTGCTTACGTTATTTTTGTGTGCCATAAGTCTTTTTCTGTGTATTTCTGACATTGGATTAAAAAAAACCCGAAAGTGGAGCCTGACAACAATTATCTTTCATTTCATTAGGAAAAAAATAAAAATAATTTAACTAAATCATAAAAGAAAGATCATAAAAGAGAGATATCTTTATTTTATAGAAGATTAGTTGACGCTGTGTCTAAAAGTGATATCTAAAGTTGAAGACATTGGATTCCATATGCAAAATTAATTCTCTAGTGTCTTATAAATTATCTTGAATAATAAAATGGATTTTGGCACTTTGATAAATGTTGCACAGAAAAATGAAACGAAAAAACAAGTTAGTCTATTTTGTCGATACTACTATTTGCGATTAGACTCCAAAGTGTATATATAGTGGACATAAAAATAGGTTAAATTAGATATCTTTTGCTTAGTGTTAAACAATATCTCCTAAAATATTGTTAATTCTTTTAACAGACCGTTCCATGCTATCAAACAAAATTTACACCACCGAAAAAACAAACTAAACATTCTAAAACTCTTTCCGATAATATCAAGAAATTTCTCGCTCGAAAGGAAGAAGAGGAGAGACAGAAAGCCTTAGAAGAGAAAAGAAAGAAAGAAGTAATTTCATAAAAATAATACATAATAAATGTGTTATACATTGATTTATAAATAATTTATATAAATTTTTATATTGTATAATAATATGTGTATTAGATTACTTATGCTTCATATTTAATAAAATATACTTTCAGAATCTCCTAGCTTTACGGGATTCTAAAGCTCAAAGTCGGATAAATAAACACTTGAAAGTATGTAAAGCAGCAAATAAGTCAGTGATTGCGGATGCCATTGATAGCGAAAATACAGCTATTACTATAGCAGGTAATATATGATTTTATATATATAAGAATAATCATTTTTCAAAATATCATATAATGATATTGTTGTATAAATAACAGATTAAACACAGTTTTAATCTTATTTTTCTACATTTTTACTTTATTTAAAATATATTTCAATAAGATTATATCTCTATCATTGGGGGACACAAATTTTTGAATAAGATATAAAAATAAAGTTCCAAACAAAAAAAGAGCATTTATATATACATAGAGATTAATTTTTATTTTTTATATTTACAATTATCTTTTTTTTTGCAACACTTTTTTTGTTAATATATATGCTTGAATATTTATACATCAAGATATATTGTGAAATAAAAACTGCGAACTAAATATAATTAGGGCAATATAGCAAGTAAGTCTTATGCAAACACGAAATAGTAAAATGCAATACTGATGCATACGGATAAATTCAAAGCACAAGGTGGCAGATTGATATTGACGAAAAATATGATAAATAGTTTATTTGCATATTATTGTCAGCTTAGCGAGGAAACTTATCCATAATGGGCAATATTTTTGCCCGCAGGTTATGTAATATATACGAGCAATATAATGCATTAATTATCCATCATCCCAAATTGATGCAGAACAATTTCATGGATTTGTACAGCGATGGATACTAAGGCATTGATTAAGGTCAGCCATCTAATTTTAGAGTAGTCTAGAGAATTTACAAGAATGAAGTTTGCGCTATAATTACTGCTATTTTTATCATAAACTACATTTACACGTCATTCTTAATCAAGTTTAATAACATTCATAGTTTTAAAGCTGACCAATGATTATTCCTCTGAAGAATGGAATAACCATGATTGACCAGTTTTAGCAGTTTTATGAATGTTATTAAGCTGATTAATGGTGATGTGTAAACGCAGTCATATTTGTGAGATTTCTTTAAAAACAATATAGAGGTGTAATTTTATTTATACTTATCCATTATTAATGCAAATCACATATGCATGATGCTTCATTATTATATCATTTCTCTCTTCTTTTGTCTCAGTCAAAGTTATTTTATTTTATTTTTATACATTTTATAATATATATTTTTTAGAAAAAAAATACTTGTCTCTATTTCATATATATGTATATAAATGTGATTTTTTAATATGTATTTTGTTCCTTATATATCTGTTAAAGAAAAAGATATAAAAATTTTTTTACAGGTTTTGATGGATTATTTATATATATTGTATTTCTTCTATTTTTTTCATTTTAATACTAAATACTTTATTTTGTAATGCAATATATATAATGTTAAATGTGCTGATGGTTATAATGAGATATATAAAAGATGTTATCAAGATACATTTCATTTTTAGATTATATGATATTGCTCAATTATCTTTTTGCACTACAATAGTTTTCTAAAAAGATCATTTTATGCCATTTGTTTACCCGTTCATATTTTTTTCTATTATTTTTAATACCTTATTAGTATTGGACATTTTATTCTCGTGTATTAACAAATTATTGTGCATTTGAGATATTTGGAACTTTATTTTTATATAATTCTGAATGAGGTCTAACTCACGCACACACATTATTTTCTTTAAAAAATGGTATATCTTTATATTTACACATAAACATACACACACATACAGGATGTATTGTATAATTGTATACAATAAATAGAGAAAGAGAGATGCAAGATACTTTCCAATTAAAAAAATAAAAAATTTGTTATATAAATATAAAGATTAACTGCATGCTTTGTTATGAAGGTATGACAAGGGATAATTCAACAAAAAGCAAGATATTATAGCTGTTAATTTGAATTATGATTTTACTGAGATATGTTACATGTTGCATCCTATATCTTGGTTCCCACATTGTATTATCAGGAGTACATCAAGAAGGATCAATCGTGATATAATTGTAGTTGCTAATAATTGTCATTTGCAATATTTATAATATCTTTCAAAAAACGGGAGTTTAAGGCACAAAAGAGCTGATTTTCATTGTGAATATAATGGAAATCACTTTGAATGCCTTCTTTAAGATTTTGATATAATTTGATACGATGCTTTCATTTGAATTATCCCTTCTTTATTTGTTATATCTCTATAACGAAGCGGTTAAATCTATATATTTATATAACTTTTTTTTTCAATTACAGAATATCTTACATTTATTTATTGTATACATGATACACCCAGTATGAAATATATATATATATATATATATATATATATACAAGAA